TTGCTGGGAACGCCGAGCCTAGTGACGCGACCACAGTCCACCTTGCGGATCTACACGTCTCCAAAGTGTGCTTCGCGCATTCCTGACAAAATATCCTCTTTGCCTCGGGATATCAGCGAGCCTATTGCCTTGTGGCAAACTACTCGCTCGTTTCAGAAACCAATACAAAATCATCGCTGCAGCTTGTTGAAAATCACGACACTGCGACCGATCGACATTAACGATGTGAGAAAATAACAACATACCTGCAGCGGGTGAGGGAAAGTGTCTAATACTATGAAAACACGAATGAGTGTCATAAGCGCGCCTAGCCCTAAGGAAAAGAGGGCGTAAGAATAGGCGAAACAAGATTGCGATAAGCCAGGCAAAACAATGCGCGTTGAAAGAACTAGACGAAACGAAGTTGCGGCGAATAGCACAGTAGCCTGCGAACCATCAGATGCCGTGCGTTATGCTCCAGTTTAGTTAGGCTAAAGACAACAATATCAAAGCAAGGTGATCAATTTGAATTTAGTTATTCCATAACAAGAAACAAACTTGCATTCTTATAACTACTAACTAAATCATGAGCGGGCATTACCCAAACAATAATAATACCTACTAAATAAATGTTTAAGCTCATGGAAGAAACACTATATCATCATATGGCATAATGGAATGCAGAAACCGGTTAAATCATTCACTTAACGCACATTCCTAGAAGTATCATCCTAATGAAATTCGTGAATTACCTGACAGAACTGCACACAAAATATGCATTTTGACATTTCGTGAATTTGGTTCTGTTGCTCACGTCCAAGAAGCTGCCTTCAAATGGGATTGAATTCTGTTCATCGTGCAGGCACACCGTTTTTGTTGTCTGAATTGCATTATCTCCTTCCAATATGTCCAACGCTCTACACTATTACATTTGCATAAAGTTGTGTATCATGCCATTTCGCGCGACATTACTACGAGAAGCTTGACAAAATATCGATCGTGGTAACATGCAGGTGAACACACTGTTTGATTAGGTATATAATATGTCATGAAAGTGCATCATGGGTTTAATTGTTGTCATCATGATCAAGTAATTATCGGACGTACTGTACAGCGGATATAAGATTTATGAAATGGCATGAATCTGTAACAGAGTAAGTAAATTGCATATATATTGCTTGATGAGGATAAATAAGCTAAGGTAAAATTGTAACATCTTCCAATTTTTTTTCAACATGCATGCGTGTACAGCATGTGAAGCCAAGCTAGTTATGGATGAATTGTCTAGCACCGAGTGCAATAACGAAACTGTGAACTTCGAATGAAAAAAAAAGAGTGATGAGACAACATATAGGACCACCTAGGCTAATCCGAGTTGTAGTATGCAAAGGTTTGGAAAAAATATCGAAGGTCCGGAAAGGCCCTAAATGCTCATATCAAAAGGTCACGAACCGTAACGGATTTTCGAGTGTGTGCAGGTTGCACAGTATGCAGTGTGTGAGAGGACGTCTCCAGTAAACTTCTTTCTCATTTCTATATTTCTTTTCTATCTCATTCTCCATTTTATCCTGATTCATTTGGTCTTTACCTCATCTCATCCGGTTTTCCTATTCCCCATTTTCCATTATCCTTCGGTTTATCCTATTATTACATTTTTATTACCGACTAGGCTCGGGATGTACTGGCGTGCTATATCTAGCGTAATCCTGCCATAATCCCTTACAGACAATAGCCTTGCATGGCTATGCGCAGGGTGATTCTATTTCTAGAAGGGTCTATTCCCTTTGGATATGATAAACCTAGTTAAATGATGTACCTTGGAACTATTAAAGTGCCTTGTATCGATCGATAGTGCAACTTTCTCTCGATCATTTCGATCATGTGATACAGTGAGCCCAAGTAAGGAGAAATTTTTCCTTTCACTTTTCGGGCCTCTCGTAACAGCTTTTTCCTCCTCTTGCCTATTCATACAGTCCAAGAGAGCTGGCTTCCACCTCTTCAAACTTACCGTAAACGCCCGGATACGTATATGACCTTAGGCTCTTTTTTCGTATACTAGCTAAAAGGGGGGGTTAGTCTTGTAAGGAAACCTGAAATAAATTACCCGGGTGATATCTCGTACACATATATATTGCATCGTCGTTCTCGTCGTCCCCAGGTCCAGAAATGTCAGCATTGGGGTCAACCTCGACGTTCTCCGCACCGCCCCCCTCAACGACGTGGGATGTACCAACGTGGGACCGCGCTTGAGGTCGGCCATAAACTGCTACCGCGACGGTAGCACAATCGTGCCCCCCCCCCCCCCCCCCCCCCCCCCCTCCCCGATTTCTCATTCGCCTTCGTCACTTCCTTGTATTCCGCTTCCATCCTTTTCCATTGCTGTTGGGAAGACATTTGGGAGGCATGGCTGGTAGGGGTGATGGGGTGACGAGTGAAGACTCTTCTTAGTTGGAGCTGTATGTGGTTTCTTTGCACGACATGCTTATGTTTTTATACAGGTGTCTGCTACCACGCAGCAAATGTGTGCTAGTTGTGTGCTTGTTGTGTGCTACCACGCAGCAAATGTGTGGGGCCATGCAATCTGGCCGGAGCCACGCGTTGCATTGGTTCAATTTCGTTGAAGACATTTAGTGCTACGACGTTAAATGTACCGGCCTTGGGTTTCACCGTTCTCCACCAAATGTGTTCGGTTTGGGTGCGCAAAAAGGGTAGCCGACCAATTTCAGTTGGCGAACGATGGTCAACTGTGCATCGCAACGTCTGCCGTGACCAGCCACCTTTTCCCCAGTCGGAAACGGTCGCACGACACCAGGTGACACATTGCACATTGGTGTCGTCCGCCATATGCGGACGGCATTTTTTCGTGATGACACTTGTAGGGATACGCCTTCATTCACTTGTTTACAATTTTTTCCATTGCCCTCCGCTCTACTAGGCAGTTCCATTCATAACACGCGCTCTATGTAACTGGTTACGACCAAGCTGATCATCAATGGTTGGCGAAGGTAGTACGGGCGATTTAGTGACCGCGTGTGCTGTTCCTAGGTTTCGTAAATACAATGTGGTCGGGTTTTGTGGGTGAAGGGCCTGACTGCCGGTCGGACGGGCTGTTTGAACGTCGATTTGCCCTCTCGACGCGGTATTCTTGGGATTTTCGTGAGGTACGCTGCGAGCTGGTGTAAGGAATTTCCATACCTTACTGAGTCGTACGCTAGCGCGTACACCCGAACTCCTCGACTCGTCACGTTCGGCCTCATTTATCGGCCAACCCTTTCCCGAGTCGCGTCTGGCACTGTCGCCATTATAGCCGGAACCTACCCACGTTCCGAGGTTATCGCCCTAGTATGCCAACCCCTATATAACCTCGTGCCTTTGATTGCAATAGCGAGCTTGAATCCTCACGTTATAGTTCATTGACACTTCCTATATCATAACAGCTGGTATCAGAGCCCGAGCTTTCCAAGAACCTTCCGTTTTCCCGTTTAATTAGTTAAGGGTGGTCAAAGGGGATTAGCACGGCTGCACAGCAGTTGTCTTTGATCGTAAAAAATTTTACGTCAACAACTACAGCGTGTGCGGTAGCTTCTGCCCCGTCCTGACTGCCATGGCCCCTATAGATTCGACGGTTGAGGAACAATCCACCTCGACTGCTGCGAACCCTGCCCGAGAAACTGTGGACCTGCAAGCATTAATGGAGCAGTTAAATAATTTGACAAGTGTCGTCAACAACCTCCGCGACGAGAACCAACGACTTCGCCAGGCGCAGGAGAGGCGTTCAGAGGAGCCGGGCGACGATGCGCGAAGCGAGGCGGGTGAGCAGCAACCGTCGCCAGTGGAGCTGGCACGACTAGTGGCAACAGCCCCGCGCTCGACAAGTGGCGGCGTGAGATATCAGCAACCCGCTCCTTTCGACCCAGCTAATAAAGGCGTGATGGTGTGGCAGTGGATATTCGCCATGAATATCTATTTTAACGCGGCGGGCATCCGAGACGATCAGAAGCGGATCAGCCACGCGTTAACACTGTTGCAAGGGGCCGCCCTACAGTGGTGGAAGGTCATCGTCGACTCAGCAGCAAACTCGCACAGAAGGACAACACGAGTGGTCGAAGAATTCGGCGACGAAGACGAGGCAGATTTGTTGTTCGTGTGACCCACATTCGCACGTGGGCAATGTGGTGCGCAGAGCTTCGCAAGCGGTTTGAGCATGCACCTGACTTAGACAAAGCGCGCAAGACTCTACGCATGTGGAAGCAGCTGGGATCTGTGTCTGAGTTACACCGCGTCATTCTTGATGTTTGGTGGACTGATGTGGCTACAGGCACGAGGTGGAGAAGGTTGACAGGTACATGGGTGGGCTGAAGCCTGAAATACACTACCAGATAAAACTGCAACGCCTTGCGAAACTGTTACAAGACTTCATCCAGCTCGCCAAAGCCGCTGATTCGCTCACGAAGCCGAGGACGAACTTCTACGACGGAGGTCGCCCTCGAGAACAATACCAGCGAGCCACGATAAAGGGTGGATGCAGTGGATATTTGCGCAATTGCTCCGAGAAATACGGGGTTATGCAATCACTGTGGCCGACCTGGTCACATCCGACGCAACTGCCAAGAATTCATAGCCCTCCAGAATTCTATGGGGAAGAAGCCGGAGGAGCGACCTGGAATGGGTCGCGTCAAGTAAGTACCGGGCCCTTTACTGACGGGCAGGCTTCTTCGCCTAAGCCACACAGTCCCCACCGGTTCGTGATCCCAACTGTGCAATCGACCGGACCCAGACGAATAAGGGGGACGAAACTATTATCACCCTGTGTTGGTGGAGGGTAAAGTCAACGGAGTGTTATTGAAGATTTTTGTGGATGGAGGCGCGATTCACAGTCTCATACAGCTGGACAGGGCTAAAAAATTGGGTATACCCTTACTCAAGTGTCTACCCGAAATCGACGCCCGACTAGTGGATGGAACACCGCTGGCAATACGGGAGCAAGTGGAGAACGTCAGTTTTCATTGCGGGGAGTATGTAAAATTTCAAATGGGGTTGCTGGCGACGTGATTGGCGACGTATTGCTGGGACGTGATTGGCTGTGACGGTACAACCCGAAGATCGACTGGACGACGGACGGCTGCAGCATAAAGCTCGATGGGATCTCCCGCGAGCTACCAACATGGACGGGGCCTCACATGCGAAGCACCCAAGTCCATGCGATCACTTTCAAGCACGCGATAAAAGCGGGAGCTGCAGCGTACGTTGTTGATCTTTGCGAGGTGACGTCGACGACAACAGCCAGAGATATCGCGAAGCTGTGCGAAGCCGTTCCTCCGGATTTAGCGGACCTGATTCCGAAAATACCCCGAGATTTTTCCCGCACGACCTGCCAGCTGGACTTCTGCCGAGCCGACCAGAAGACCATCGCATCGAGCTGGAACCAGGCGCCCAACCGGCAGTACAGCTACAATTTTGGCTCAGCCAACCAGAACTGGAAGAATTGCAGCAGCAACTGGATTACCTTCTGCGAAGGATTTATCTGGCCCAGCACGTCCCATACCCTGCCCCGATACTGTTCACGCCGAAGAAGGATGGAGGATTCAAAATGTGCATTGACTACCGCGCGCTCAACAGGATCACCATCAAGTCACGTTACCCGATCCCGCGATTTGACGAAGTACTCGACCAACTTCGCGGAGCCAAGTTCTTCTCAAAAATCGACTTGCGAGGGGGTTACCATCAAATTCGCGTCGCAGCCGAGGATTGTCACAAGACAGCATTTCGAACCCGCAACAGCGGCTACGAGTACATGGTGATGCCCTTTGGCCTCACAAACGCGCCCTCGACATTCCAGATGACCATGAAAGGAATTTTCATGGAACTCTTGGACAAATGCGTCATTATCTACCTCGACGACATACTAATCTACAGCCGCAGTAGGGAGCCAGCAGTTACAGGATCTGGATGCAGTCTTCACGCTGCTGCACAAGAATCGCCTCATCACGAAAGGGTCTAAGTGCGACTTTCTTAAGCAGGAGTCGGAGTTTTTTTGCCACATCGTTTCTACCGAAGGAGTGAAAATCGACCCCAAGAAAATCAAGACCATACAGGAGTGGAAGCCACCAAGCCAACATAAAGAAGCTGCAGATTTTTTTGGGTTTCGTCAACTACGTCCGCCGGTTTATCCCAAATATGGCAGGATATCTACCCCGCTAACTGGCCGGCTCAAGGATCACGATTGTTTTTGGTGGGAGAGAAGCAGCAAGCCTGCATTCAACCAACTGAAGATCGTGCTCACGTCGCCGCCCGTCCTTCGCATCTCGGATCCTGGCCGCCCATACGAAGTCATCACTGAAGCCAGCGACATCGCCATCGGTGCAGTTCTTCTACAGGATTTCGGCGACGGATTACAGCGGTCGCCTACGAATCACGGAAGCTGCAGGGCGCAGAAAAAAACTACACGGTACACGACAAGGAAATGATGGCGATCGTCCATACGTTCAAGACCTGGCGGTGCTACCTGACAGGCGCTGACGTCACTATGCGAACCGACCCCAAATCCCTCCAGTACATGCGAGCCCAACCGAATCTCAACCCACGACAGATCCGATGGCTCGATTTCTCGAGTCGAATTTCCACTACACGATCACCTACAAACGGGGCGCCAACAATATTGCCGATGCCCTGACTCGACCCACTGCCTATACAGCCGCCATACTAGTCGCCCAGACCAACCCACTACTTACTGGACTATTTACCCACGGCTACAAAATCGACCCCTTCTTCCGCTCTACTATTCATCAGCAGCATACCACCGCCACCGGACACTATTTAATAAGCGCGACACTTCCCAAATCTGGGTGCCCGGCTACGATTTACTTCGTACCCTTCTAATCCAGGAAGCCCCACGACAACCCCACCTCCGGGCATTTCGGATTCGACAAAACCATGAAGACGTTGCAGCGAATTATTACTGGCCGAACATGGCTGACGACGTACGCAAGTACGTGTCCTCCTGCACCGTCTGCCAGATCATGAAATCATCCCATCAGCGTGCAGCCGGACTACTACAGCCATTGGATCCGCCCGAGCGACCCTGGCAACACATCACAATAGACTACGTAACAGGACTGACGGCCGGTCCCAGCGGAAACGACGCCATCCTCGTGGTCGTTGACCGACTCACGAAAATGGCGCACTTCATCTCCTGCAAACAGAAAATTACAGCTGAGCAAACTGCCCAACTGTTCATCCTCAACGCCATTCGACTGCACGGACTGCCTACCGCCATTATTTTATACAGAGACCCGAAATTCACATCAAATTTCTGGCGCCACCTGTGGGACCAATTTGGCACCAAACTACAATTTTCCTCCGCCTACCATCTACAGACCGACAGGCAAACCGAACGAGTCAACCAAACTATGGAGCAACTCATTCAAACTACCTACACTGACCCATAGGCATGGGAGAAATCCCTTCCGCTGCTGGAATGCGCGTATAATAACGCGCCCTCCGCCACAATCCATCAATCCCCATTTTTCTTCAATTACGAACAGGACCAAGTGATACCCTCTACCCCAAACATCGAGACACCCGTGCCCCAGTCCCAGAAATTTGCCGAAGACATTCTCGCCTCCTGAGAAAAAGCAGCTGACGCAATCAGGAAAGCCAACCTGGTCGCAAGCCGACAAGCCGATCGTCATCGACGTGACGTCACTTACAAAATAGGAGATCGTGTACTCCTCGACACTCGCAATTTGCGGCTGCTGATCCTAAGCAAGCTCTGACCCAGATTCCGTGGGCCTTTTCACGTGACAAATATGGTGACACCTGTCACTGCTCACCTACGGCTCCCGGCTGACTGGCGTCACCACCCGGCTTTCCACGTCAGCCTTCTACGGCCCTACGTCAGAATTGGCACGCCAACGCAGTGTACCGCAGCTGACACCCCTGCAGGAACCGACGACCGAGCCCTTGAAAATTCTCGGCCATCGCGTCACGACACAGCTGAACCGTCGGATGGTGGATTTTCTCGTCCGCTGGCGCAATCAAACGTCAGAAGGATGACAGCTTGGTGCCTCTCGCTGAGCTAGAATCACACACGATTCTTACTGAGTCGTACGCTAGCGCGAACACCCGAACTCCTCGACTCGTCAAGTTCAGCCTCATTTATCGGCCAACCCTTTCCCGAGTCGCGTCCGGCACTGTCGCCACATTGCCGAACCTACCCACGTTCCGAGGTTATCGCCCTAGTACGCCAACCCCTATATAACCTCGTGCCTTTCATTGCAATAGAGAGCTTGAATTCTCACGTTATAGTTCATTGACACTGCCTATATCATAACAGCTGGTTTAGGACGTGGTAATTGGTGTCCGAATCAGGCTTATCTTTGGTTTTTCACCACTCTGATTTTCACGAGTGACTCCTGGCCAAACTCTGATTTTCAGAGTGCCCTGGAGCTCGAACTCTGATTTGTCAGGGGTTTTTTTCACACTTTTCAAATAAAAAACTCTGATGCCCAGGATTCACTCCCCACGACTATTTCGCACCGTGGTGCTTTATCCCCGAAGACTGCCAAATCGCACCACACTTTTTTTCTAGGCGCGTGCCATATATACAACCCCTTCAATTCCGTACCCAAGACTTGTGCTGAATGAACGCTGAAAAGTGTAGCTTTTTAGAGATTTGGGCCGAAATCTGCCCAGTACAGTCGGCTGGAAACTGGGATGTCTCGGCTGGGTTCTCCCCAAAAAATCATCCAGGCTGTGCTCCGAAATACTTCAACATGGCGCGCTCCGTACTCGTGGAGTCCCTAGGCAGGACTTCGGGGCATCAGTTTGACGGACCAGATGACCCAAAGTGCTGGCTTAGGGGATCTCGCCCGTACCTATATTTGATGCCCCGAATTCTTCCCTTGGGGCTCGCCTCAGGTACAAAACGCGTTCTCAGTCAACACTGCATCTCGCGCTGGCAGGCATTTCGCGTGGGAAAAAACAACAGCCAATCCTGTCTGCCTGTGAGCGAAGTACAGAAACAATACGCCAGTGATTGGCTGGCGCATGTGCTGTACCAATCGCCTTTGCTGCAATGTTTACGTGTCAAACCCGTGCCAAGTTACACATGTGAAAAGTAGCGTGATTGACGGTAAGGGCCAGTCAAACAGCGTTGAACATAGCTGGGCTAGGTTGGTTTGGGTGTGGGAAGGAGGAATGTTCCTGGGTTGTGACTGGTTACAGAGGACTTGGCCCAAATTTTCCAGGTTACGGCGGGTATGAGGCGGGATGTGACCAGTTGCAAAGGACTTAGCCAAAATTATCCAGGGTGCGTGGGGAAGGGAGGGGTGTGACTGGCAGTCGGAGGACTTAGCCGAATACCGAGAGTACAGGGAAAATCTAGGAGCATCCCCCCCATTGAAAACTCTTCAGGGTGGTACATAGGCCAACTCTGATAAATCAGAGAAAACTTATACTTTCAAAATATTACCCAGGACCATGAGAAAAGTTTACAAAAAAGACTCTGATTTTCAGAGATCCAGAGTGATTTACTCTGATAAAATAAGCCCTGGTCCGAATTGCCCTAATCTATCCTCTTCCGGATCATGTCGAGGGGTCTAAAATAAGTATTTATACGGCGCAAATAGATGCAATGTGTTAAAACACGGTACTATTTGAGGTTTGGAAAGCGATCATGCGAAGCGGATGCATTCTTCCACGTCCTTACGAGCGCTGGCGAAACCAGTCACCACACCAAAGCTCGAACGATACCTAGTTTCGAAACCCTTAGGCGCCTCACCCAAATATTCGGGTCAAGTGAGAGTCCAGCTCGAGCCTGAGGCTCAATTTCGACAAAAAATTGCGAAGTGGAGACCAATCGAGCCCAGCTCCTGTGTGAAACAGGTTCATTGCGAAAGTATACAGTGGAAAGAAGTAACGAACTTTCAAACTGTCACGAACATCGCCGAACCATTTTTTTCTCCCAAACTGCCCTAGTTGGCGAAGTTGTCCAGTTCTGTGCTCTCGTTTCCTGGTTACAGACGCGTCCTCTGACGAAGCAGTTGTGTTTTTGCGTGTATGTGTAACAGTTTGAGATCGAGGACGTGTACGACTCTGATATTCGCCGGATGGACCCACGAAACGAGCCTCCGAGAAATTGGTGTCAAATGTTACTCGCCGTCAAACTTCTGTAACAGGTTTTTGCAGCTGGTCAGGAAGTTGTCAGAACAAACGGACGAACGGATGAGCGGAGACACCCGTCCACAAACACGCCCCACCGACAACACAGCATGCCCCCCCACACCCCCCACCCACCCCCACACAATTCCCGTTCCGCTGCTTCAAAGTACACATGCCTTCTGTTGCCTAGAGCAGGGGGCCGTTCGCTGGCAATTTTCCGAGGGGAACGGGGAGGGGAACGGGCGACCAAATCCCGCGCGCACGGAATCTGCGCATCCAAACCTACGTAAAATTTTTTTGAGTGCCCCCGTACTTTGGTAATCATAACGTCGCCGGCTCATGATTACGTCGGTCAAGACTGCAGGACTGGATAAGACAAACTCGCGGACAGTGAAGTATGGGGCCCATCAAAAGCCCTCTTAGCCCATCGCACTTTCGTGGAAAATCTAGGGGAGAAAATGCGATTCACACAATTTTGTCAAAACTGCCAATTTTTTTAACATTTCAAAATGTGACCGATTGGATGGGTATGAGCTGGCGCAATTGCGCAAATCGACGGGTAGGATTGAAGGGGAAGTGGCTGCAGTTTTTTTTGGGTTTCGTAAACCTGCCTAGCCAAGAGGCATGCCAATCTTGGCCTGCCTCATACCACGATTTTGCAGTATGAGGTGTGGCACGGAGTTTGCCTGGCAGCTCTGGGCGGCTGATGGCCGCGCTTCGGGTTTGGCATGAGAAGGAGCACGCGATTTGGGGGCAACTGGTTTGGGGAAACCGAACCGACGCGACGTTTTCGTATGCTGACATCACGTTTCGCAAATTTGGTTCGGCGAACCCACGAAGCCTCGATCGATGTTCCCCATGCCTGATTTCCCTCGCCGTGCCGGTGAAAAATTGGCCAGCGAACGGCCCCCAGATGTAGGTGCTTCTTGAAACAATCAGTCTATATTCATCAGTGCAATCACGTTAGAGAAGGGCGGTTCCCAAGAACATGCCTTGGCAGTCGATGCAGCTCAGTACGGTGCGTGACGTTAGAGATCGGATTTCACCGCGTTGGACAGTAGTGCAAAATACACCATAGCAGTCGTAGGATGGGCAATGGTCAAAACAGCAGCAGCCGTGGCGGGTGACAGGTGCTAGGCCACTGCAGAGTTAGGTCTTAGCAGACGCAGGATAGTTTACAGTGGAACAAATTCGTATGGTGACAGCTGCGCAGCGTCGTAGAAAGCGTTTGCACTTCCTGACTTGCTCTAAGTTGAGTAACCCTGGCGACTCGGCACCTCTGCAGTCGCGCCAGCGGCTCTCCTCGTCATAAGAGAAAGAAAGTCCGCTTTCGATATGGCCCGTTTGCGAAGCCGGCACGCTCGACCAGTTACCAGCTTCAGTCGCCCGTCGCTTCCGCTCCTCCTCCTGCTCTTCGCTTCCTCATCCGCGTCCCATCCGTCTATCCTAACCACCCGTGCCGCTCCCATCGGCGCGCAGTTACCACCTCCCCCAGCGCCGCCCGTCGTGAACAAGAACCCCGCGAACCATCACCTGGTGAACCAGCACCGTGATTCGAACAGCAGCATCTTTATTCCGCTCTCCCGCGCTTGGTACCCGCCTTTAATTGTCCCCTTCGCTGACGAACCCCGGTCGCCACGTTACCCCAACGTGTTCGCGGTGCAATCGTCGCACTCCGTTGAAGGGGATGCAGGTTTTGCGCAGTTCGCGCATGCGGGGGCGGAATCGGCTGCGCGGGGGCGTGCTCTGGCGGCTTCCGCCTCCTCCGGCGCCGATGCGGCCGCGTGCGACGCGGAGTGGATGCTGCTGTGGCCCGCGCAAGGGTGCTGGCGGCCGCGCATGACGGCGCAAAGTGGATCATCCGCGCGCGTGACTCCCGCCTCCTCATCCGCGCGCGTAATTCCAGCCTCCGCATCCGCGCAAAGCCTAGCGTCCGCTGGCGCAGTGATCGCGCAGAGTTCCGAGCCTTCCCCTCCCCCCGACGGAGGGGGAGACCGGCCCGGCGAGGGGGACCCGGGGGATGGGGGCAGTCCTCCGCCTGCGGGGAACGAGGCGCAGCTGGAACCCGACAATGAGATCATCAGCGTGTGCAGAACTGAGGGTGAGATATCCGCGCTAATGAGCTGGTGGGGGTTTTGGGGGGTGAGGTGGGTGAAATGGAAGGGAACTTGGATTGGAACTGTTGGGATAATGCAGATAGTAGCCAGCTGTGCTCGTTATAGCCAACTTCGCTGTGCAATAGAACGACATCTCACTTGCGGCCCCGAGCCAGCTCTCCTTATGTCTCATATTATTGTATTTCTCCAGTTTCCTTT